CACACACACACACACACACACACACACACACACACACACACACACACACACACACACACGTTTGTTTCTTAACCCTGTGGGGACCTTTCATTGACTTCCATTCATATTTTTTAGCCTCACATGCTAACCCTGACCGTATTCTGTAACATTAACCTGACAGGAACTGACCTGAGCCTAAAACTGACCTAAACCTTGGTCCTAAGCCTGACCCCACACCTGGAACATGACTTTGGACCCAGTCCTGAGAGCGGCGGTGCAGTGAGGTTCTGTCTGATCCTGTGGTTCTGTTTGTGCCTGCAGCCAGGAAACACACCAAGCAGGACTCCATGATGAACGAGGAGTGGAAGAGCATGTTTGGATCTCAGGAGCCGCCGCCCACCCAGCCTGCAGCGGTAAGGTTCTGACCCAGACCATCAGGCCTCCACCACCGTGCTGACAGCCAGAGTCTGATCCAGGTGTGTGTTTGGACTAAATCAGGGTGAAATGTGTTTCCAGGCTGCAGACGGGCCGGTGACTCAGATGAAGAAGACGTCTGTGGCTCCGGTGGCGCCTGCAGCGCAGTCTGTGGTGAGCGGCCCCGCCTACCAGCGACGCATCAACACGTGTAAGGCGGAGCTTCAGCAGCTGGTGCAGCAGAAGAGGGAGCAGTGCAGCGCCGAGCAAATCGCCAAGCAGATGATGGAGAGCGCCGAGTGGGAGAGCCGGCCCCCCCCTCCAGGTAACGTCCCACCGTAGTGACGCTCCGCCGCACACAGGACGCAGAGACTCACGTGGGTCTGTGTTTTCAGGGTGGCACCCCAAAGGTCTGCTGGTGGCCCACCTGCACGAACACAAAGCTGCCGTGAACCGGATCAGGGTCTCAGACGAACACTCCATCTTTGCCACGGCCTCCAACGACGGCTCCGTCAAAGTCTGGAACAGTCTGAAGATGGAGGGCAAGACCACGACCACGAGGCGAGTCCGTCTGAGGGTCTCGCTTTATGCCTGCTCCCTTTCTCACAGGCTGCTCAGTGTAGGGGGCGGGGCTTTGGACACAATGATCAGGTCGGGTCTGATGGGGGCAGTGCAGTCTGTTTGGGGCAGTACAGTCTGTTTGGGGGGCAGTACAGTCTGTTTGGGGGCAGTACAGTCTGTTTGGGGGCAGTACAGTCTTTTGGGGGGGCAGTACAGTCTGTTTGGGGGCAGTACAGTCTG